AGGCGGCGAGTCACCTCTCTGTCCAGCGGCCAGCCCGTCCAGGTTGGCCCTGTGACCAGTCCAGTCGGCGGCCTCAATCCGGCGCCGGTATCGTCGGCTCGCAGTGAGCCGGGATAGCAGGACGGCCCGTATTTGGGCAAAAGGTCGCGCAACTGGTTGTAGGCCGACTTGAGAGACGAGTGCACCTCTACCACACTCTTCAGGGTGTCGCTAAGGAAGGCCTTGTCGTGCACAGACGCATTGGCCAGGCCCGGCCAGAATTGAGCCATCTGCCGAGCATCACCGTTGCCATAGTCGAGCAGGTAGAAACCGGTAATGTTCACTCTGCTGGCCTTATACGCGGCCAGACTGAGATCGAGGATATTCAAGTCGACTAGAACGTAGTGGTACTCGGCGCGCAGCATGCCGAACCGCGAAAGCCAGTCGAAGACGCGGTTGAAGCGGTCTCTAGAGCTCGCCCCATCAAAGAGCCCGCTGCTGCCCAAGTCGATGATGATGCGCCTGCGCTTGCGTCGACCCAGACGACGGTCAATCTTCTTCAGGGTCCGCTGCATCACTTCACCATTGTCCGGATCAATGTAGCCGGTGTCTATGTCGAGGTTGGCGAAACGAATGCCCCCTTTTCCGGTGTCATCAGGTCCAGTGTATGCCTCGAAGCGCTCCTCGTTGCAAGGTTGGATTTCATCAGCTGCCAAATCTTCCTCAAAGTCTTCTCTGCCGATGGCCTCGAGGTCGTCATCCTCAGCCTCATCTTCGTCACTCGGAGCACTGCCCGTCCCGAACAATTGATGCTCATTGTCGCTTTGCAGTCTTGCGTTTTTGAGCGCTTTGAGGACGGAATAGGGCTTTCGCAAGAACTGGTCGGCATTGATGCTTTTAAAGAGCTCCAAGGTGACAGCTTCCATACGCTGAAATGCGTCTTGTGTGGCGTAGAGATAGGCGAATCGCTTCCAGCGCCAGAAGGCAAGGAAGTCTATCAGCGGTTGTGTAAGATCGGGCCTAAGACTGAAAACGCGACAAACGGAGGGGTTGTTTATCGGCGGTTCCTTCAGACTATCGTTGGTGAATTCAGCCTCTTGGCTCTTCGACGGATGGCTTTCCGAGAGCAAGTCGAGTCGGAGATTGATGGCGTCGTCCCAGGTCAAATAAGGGATTCCAAAGCGTCGCATGAAAGAGTCAATGAGACGTGACAACTTCGGAGTCAAACTGCCGGCCATGAAGAAGGGACGCTTCTCAAGGGCCCGGCAGAGGGTGCGGAAGACTGTCGAGATGTTGTCATTCTCATCGATAGAAACCGGATCGAGGAATGGTGTTGGCCAATTGGTTTGCGCCAAGGTGAGATGTTCCCGAAGAGAGCGATTACCGGTTTCGATTCCATCGAGAATCTGTCGTATCGGCTCGTTGATGAGGACCGTTATCCACTGGCTCGAGGCCGGATAGACACAGAAACAAACGAGAGCAAAAAGGGCACCGAAGCCTGGGAGGGGCATAGTGAATAAAGTTTTGACAGAACCCCGACTATTTGGAGTCGACGACTCCAACCAAAACAGGAATCGATAGGCAACGAATGCAGCAATTTATATCACATCGTACAAAGCGGATTGGCTGTAGTCGGGCTTGAGACTATTTGGTTGTTGTCCCTTAGCTGATGGACAAATAAATGCCTTTCGACTTGACTATTCACTATCCCAAAATTACGCTTCTCGAGCAGTGGGCGACCAATGCTGTATTGAAACCAGACTGAACTATAGCAACCGCCTAGCCCAGGAGTAACAAGAGAGCGAAGGAGATGAACCGAGATATTCAGTTCTGATAGCGTAAGTGATTGAGGCTGAGAGATGCCAAGAGACGCACATACACTCAGAGACTAGAGGAGTCGTCAGGATATCTGGCTGAGAGACTGAGACGCTTAATTCCAGAAAGGCGGAAAAACCGAGACAATGACGTGGAGAAACGGGTAGATTAACCGATTGAGACAGTGGAATAACACGAAACATGAGGATACCAAACAAAGTGAGCCTTTTTGAGCATAACGATAATTTTGTGATTGGATGGTTGGCCAATAAGGCGAGTTGTAGCTATGAGGATCGAGCTGGTCTTGTACAATTATTGCCGAGCTAACTTTAATTTCGTGTATCAGTCACTAGAAGACGATGCAAGACTCACCCTTGGTCTGTTCCACTTTGAGTTTACTGGAACGTTCAGGCTTATGAAGTCCTCGATGTAACCTCCTTACTTTTCAGTGGGATTGCGCATGACCCTTACCTGTTAAATAATTGATATGATCAGAATTTAACCCAGGCTTATAACAATTCCAAACGGGAAATGAAGATGATGCAGGACAGATAATGATCTTTATCCCGCCATGCTAAGAGCCCTGAACTTCATTTAACCTTCCAGTGCAAGGGGTGTCCTCATCCAGGGTGGACGCAGTTTCGACCACGCCTGGGTCGCACTAGCACCTCCGATTGGGATCGAAGAAACGCCATAATCGCAAAGAGGTAACACGTTGACCCTATTTAGTGTAGCCGAGTGCGGATGCCTTGAGAGTCTGCTCATTGAGCCACTGACACATCTGGCCGTGTGGCGTAGCTGCAATGGCAGCAGTTTACGAGCACGGCCCAAGTTCGATTCTCGTCGAAGGTGCCACTAGTACCCAGGCGAGGTCGGATTATAGTTCATATTTCGGGAGGCAAGACAAGACAAAATGTAATGGCATTGTGAGACCTAGTGATATAATTGTTAAAAAATTCACCCACTCTTCATCCTATTTGCGATATAGGGCGACTACATTTCCCATTCAAGATCTACTTATGGAATCAAAACGTAGAAAGTAGGAATATAACTCCATATAAATAGAGAATCAATAAAGAAGACCCATTATGTATATCAGTGGTTTTACCTTGTTTTCGCAACTTAGTCGTATTATCTCTAAAGAAGGGCACCTTGTCGGGAGTCAATAGTACCGATGATAATATCCAGTCAGAACATGGACATTCCCAAACGTTTCGTCTGCATCTTTATTAAGCCTGGCCAATCTTAGCACCACACAACTTGACAAAAAGACCAGTAATGTCGATCCTTTGAACAATCGTCTGCTAAACAGAGTGGTATCACTCTTTGTTCAACTGCATTCACTCATCCCATATCCTCGTATCACCCTTTCACTATAACAACTTATCACTTTATTATTTGAAACCAGTTTATTTAATTAGGATATATGTAGTTTTCGCTAAGCCTACTACGCTATAGGTGTAGGTGTGATAGATATGGTTTCGCAGGGTACGTTTACGCGTGCTTTGATATGAGGTGACTGACCAAAAAGGCGGATACCAACCAATGTACGCATGAGCAAGTGACTAGTACCCTAGGATTAGATGGGACTGTCAACTTGAGAAAAGAGGAGTGTGATTAATGCGATTCAGGAGTGGAAGATTTTCAAACCGGTATTTTTGAATTAATTCGGACACAGGATCACAGAGAATGAAATGTTATGTGGCTGGGGATGAGAACGAGGATAACTGGGTGATGGATCAGAAACATAGGGAGGAGAAGATGCATAGGCATGGGCATCTTCGACTCTAAATCCTCTATTATGTCATAAACGTGTCTGGAATTTAAGGCTCATTGGCGGCCAGATTTCAGACAACCAGACAGTGATTGTAAGGCGTAGCAGCGACAAATTGACAAGTGGGATGGAAGAGGGACTGAATGAAAGCCAGAAGCCATGTAAACGGCACCTGGAACAGATGGTGAAGATGATTATGTTTCAGTAAACCCATTTGTAGCGACATTGGAGGCGACGAAAGCCCAGAATCGTGTGAATAAGTAAATCGGATAAATATGACGTGGGGTTGAGAGAAATAGATGCAGGACTTACAGATAGGACAAGATATAGGAAGGAGCGCTGCGAGAACAGTTGAACAGAAAATTGGAATTGCCTTCGCTTGTCACTTAGAAGTTGTAACTCTGTGCTAGCGATGGTGCCTCCCATTGACCATGCCGGTGAAACGTTTGAGAATGTGCTAAGTCAATGGTCCGATTCTGTAAATAACGAGTACTATGGCAAAGGTTGCATGATTTGGTACGTTCTACAAGCTCTCCCTGATGTTCCCACCAAGTTGCGAAAACCTCGTCAAACGAATACCACAAAGCCAATTGAGTCTTAGATCAAATAAAAGACCAGACCATCTGGGTCTTCATATTTATGACATATTCCTTAAAGCCTAAAAAATTTTGACTCAAATCAACCAACGAGTTTTCTCTGCGCAAATTGATTAGGCGGCATGGTTTAGAGCCTCTAAACTAACTACATTGAACATCAGGAATCTGTTCTTATACAAATTCACAAATATATTGAACTTAATGTTAGAACAGCTCCCTTATAAAATCTCTTGGAAGGCGAATCTGAGCTAAGACGTGAGAGCTAAAAGGGATGAAGAAGCAAATTTAAGCGTGGGAAAAAGTAGGTTGACCTCGTTTTAGCAACTTAGTCCTGTTGTCGAGATGACAAAAGTGGCAGTAGCCATACAACCTAAACTAGCTGTCCTTAGGTTTCGTTGAAATGGGGTGAACGACTGCTCGTCCATTGATTCAGCCTGAATACTTCTACAATGAGAGTAACCAGTTATTCCGCTTTTACATAAAACCCACATCCCAGTTACGCACATGAAAGTAGCGAGACAAAACTTGACCTAACCGTTTCAGATTGAATGAAGAAAAATTATATACATTAATGTATAATAGGTAATGAGCCACAAGCATTTGATGATGTCCAATCATCTTGTGTAAGTTGCCATGCGAATGAGATTAGACCAAAGTAATATGGCGTACTACGAAAATAAGAGATAAACAGACAGTTAGAAGAGAGAATGTACAGAAAGATGTGCCTGGGGCGAGTGGTCAAAAATGCAGGAAGAGGCATAATTTACGATAGTATTCATACAATGACACCAAGCAAGCGATTGTAGATAAACGCTTTTGCGACAGATTGTGAGTGACTAAGAGACCACGTCAAGTCCATCAATCGCAGCTTCCTGGATAGTAAGCTTCTGATTTTCACGATAGCAAGCAAGGCTGCAAAGAGACCTCTTGGTTATTGGACAAGCGTACCGCCTGAGGCTTCCTGTTTTGCAAATTTCGCATAAGCGTAATTCGACGGGAATGGAGGATGGACTTACGGAGTCCAGCTCTTTAGAAGTTTTAACTGCAAATAAGGAATCAAGAAAAGTCAGAGGGGCAGTATATTGAAAGTTCATCGAGGATGAAGCTATGGATTGTGGAGAGAGCCTGTTTGGATGGGAATATTTGGCAGCAGTCATACCTTGAGATGAAGGAGGAATAGGAGGAAAAGAAACAAACGATCCAGGCGAACAGCGTGCCGTCAGAACAGTTCTGTAATACCCA